TTCAAAAGCTAGAACAGTATTAACACTTTTGTGTGAAATGTATTATTTATAAATGCCTTTCCCTTCAAGTAATTAGGTGATATGTGAGGATGTCATGGGAATTTCCACTAATGACACTGGGACCTATTTTGTGGAGCAATGTGAAAGAATTTTGCATACACTTATGACTGCATGGACCTAGCCATTTTGAATGTTAATTTCACTTTGTGGAAAGGGTGTTCGCTCCTAGTTGCATTTATTCTAAATGCCACAGAATTTTAAAATGAGCAGTTTGAAAAGTGATGACATCTGTCCAAGATCAGTATCTTCTTTTAAGAATACGCTATTTAGGCATCAAATGGACTAAATTTAATATTGGCATAATATATGCAAAAATCCTTGGAAAATATGCCTAAAATGCAAGATACGTCTCTAAATATTCCATAAAATATAGAAAAATGTGTAAATGGCCATTACGTAAAAAAATTTACTGAATCATGGAAAAAGTATTACATTTTTTAAATTAGCATGCCATGAGACACTTGTATTCCTTCGTATGAGTTTCAACGTGTAAACTTATGGTCATGGGCATGTGTAGCCTAAAACAAGAAGGGAAGGCCAATCACAATTCTGGACCCCCTTTTCTGATAAATTATTTTATTTCCTTATGACATAATTTACTAGAAAATGTATAAAACATTCTATAACATTATAATGATTTGATTAATACAATTGAATCGTTTATTTCTGAAACCCGTCAAATGCCAAATTCCTCTTCTCGAGAAAACTAAGATAAAGTTTCCCAATTTATCTGATTTCAAAATATTTTTATTTATTAAAGTTGTTTATTTATGAATATTGTTTATATAAATACACACTAAACAGTGTGCCTATCTTCTTGGAACAATAATCTGCCACTAATGTGTGTTTTAGATTTTGACGTTTCTGAAATAAAAGATCCAATTGATCTTATGTTCAACCATTCTCAGGTTGCCATAAGGTTTGGAAAGCCTCTTCCCCCAAATGCCATTTATAGATTACCCAAATTGTCAGCTTACAAAATAGGAAAATAAGAAGTTTATCGTATTTACAAAAATAAAATGTTTTATTGTCTAGGGCTACAGGGTACCTTTTAAATTTTCAGTGAGGGCTGGGGCCCCCTGATGCTTGACTATATAGTTACAGTGTAGGTATGGAAATTGTGTGAAAGAAATTAAATTTGTTAATACATTGTGTCCTTCCATGAATTTAAAGGTATACCAGAAGGAGCTGTAGAAGAGGTTGTTCCAGAACCCAGTAGTAATGCAGGACCCTTCTCTTCAGAACCATTAAATAATGGCGAAGATTCTGTTTGATGTGTTTGTTGGGTGCCTTGAACCCAGATTAAACTATTCCTGTTTGTCTGTGATGCTTTATTGCTGCAAAAGTCATTGAAACCTGGTGGATGAGTTGCATAACTTGGGCACTGATGTGTATTAATTTTTGTTTTTACTTATTCAAGAGATGCACATGCAAATCAAATATTGAAATTAATTTTCATAGTTTCTGTAAATGCAAATGTGCCCCAAGCCCAGATCATCCTTTAGCTGGTATATTTTATAGTACCATTGTATTTGAGATCTGTACTGAAATATGTTTAGCTTTATATATGAAAAATTAAATATGTCCCTTGAACAGCCAATCTTTCAGATAAATAAGAAATAATCGCATTTGTGTGAAAGTATGCATGAGCAATGAAATCTGTTTCATGTCTGATGAGCACAAAATAGTGTTTTGAAGGATGTAGTGATTCAGAAACTTAAATGTTTTGTCACCTACTTTTTTTCATGTAATCTTAAGGGTAGTGTGAAAGTGTGGATTATGTATGTAAATATTGTGATAGGTTTGTACTGCTGTGATTTTATTGTATCAGAATAAAATTTTCCAGTAACAAGTATACAATGTATAACAATTTTTTTTTCTATAATGTTGGATGCTGTATAGATCTGTGATGAATATGAATGAACCCATGAACCCAATTTACTCATCCGTTTTACTCCAATAGAAAGAACAGACTTCAATGACCATTAAAGAATGTCTCAATTGAAGGTCATGAACTTGTAGAGCATGCACTGGCAAAGGTGGCTCAGGGTATCGATGGGTGTCACTGTAGTGCCTCTGGCCAGGGGGTATTAAAGTTCGAGGCCCGACCGTGGCAGAACTTTCGACACTAGCTAGACAGCAAAGATTATGAAAGAATTCAGCCGTTGTCTAGAGGAGAATTCTAGCGGTCGGCTGCTCTGCTTGGTAGTTTGGCGGTGCCCCGCTGGTGAAAATGTATACCGTGCAGCCTACTTTACTGGCGCCTGGCGGTTTAGCCTCTATTCACACACACCCCTCCCGAAGGCGCACACGTACTACACCTTGGAGCTGGATCTCGCCGGAGCGTAGTACCTATCATGGGCATCTCTCCAATTAAGCCTGGATGGGGCCACTCTGCCAACTCAGAGCTACTAACTGTCCGGGATAGCACCGGAGTCTGATTAAGAGCCACTCGCAATAAGCCGGGACGAATCCATTCTTAATAGCCCATGAGTATTGGGTATTGCCATTTCGAAGACAAGGGCCTATCTGGCCCGGGTGGCTTAG